CTCTCTCTCCCCCTCTCTCTCTCCTACCATTCTTCTCCCTTTCTCACTCTCTCATTCTCTCTCGCTCTCTCCTTGTCATTCGCCTTCTCCTTCCACGATTCCCCCTTCTTTCCCACCCATGTCCTCGCCGCTCCCCTCGCCACCCTCCCCCCCTCCACCCCGCCCTTCTCTTTCTCCCCGTCAATAAGAGAATTCTCACCGTATATCGCGCGCGAATAATCTGTTATGACGACGGACGCCATAAAAATCTCCGCGCGAGGTCGCGCGCTTCATTCAAATTTAGCATTATATATACTGTCACCCGCGATTCCGCATCCGCGCGGCGGAGACGCATTATTTCCGTACGGCTTGTCGACTTAAACGGGAAGCCATCCGAGAATAATTTCCGACGCGTTACCGCTACGGCAACCAAACCCGGGGCGGATCTCCATTCAGCGAAAGAGAGAACCTGCAGCAAACTTCGCCGTGTGCGAGCTTGGAAAAGTTGGGAAAACATCCGCCCCGACGAGCGAGGGCGATGCCCCAAACGTCAAAAAAAAAAAAAAATTTATTAAAAACATATAAAAAAAAAATATATTCTGTTTACGCAATAACGTTTCAGCAAAGATCTCTCCGTAAAAACAGCTGTTAGGACTGCTGTCTGCGATTTTTGCTTGAAGCACCGCGTGAAAATGTAACGTTAAACGCGTGTTTAATTAGCGCGACGAGGCCCGTACTCGGAAATAACTAGCGTTCTCGACTGCTGGGCATTTAGAGAGAATATATAATCATCCGCGGAACGTTCAGGCCTTTTTCAAACCACAGGCATCTGCAGTGTCGTGCTAAGCAGCTTCCGCTGACCGGCGCGGCGGAGTCCCAGGAAGGGAACTCTCATTGCGCGAGCCTTGCGAGAGAGCAGCCGGTTTCGCTCGACGCCTGTTAGCATTTTTCGATGTCAAACAGCAGTATTATGTTACATTTACTCCAATTCCTATTGGCTTCGTCGAAACTGGAGTCGATCCTGGATTTTACTTCACCGCGACTCCGCGAGACTCCCCCCCCCCGGTTGGAACTCGTGAAGTATGAGAAAGAATAATACAGAAGTGCGTGGCGCGCTCTTGAGCACCGCACCGTCATGCAATTGCCAATCGATATGCCGATCCGCTATCTAATCGCTAACAACACAGTTTACCCAATGAAACCGCGCCGTCGCGTATTTTTATCGAGGGGCCGGAGGGCGCGTTCCGGGAAAATACAACGCGTATACGCGGTTCTCTCTATGTGCCTCTGGGTAAAGTCGTGCAAAAGTTGTCACGCGCGACAATGGCGCGGATAGTATTTGCCAATTCTCTATTAAAGCCGCGGCACACGGCCGAGGTTGGTGTATATCGATTAAAAATGGCGGATCGCTCGGACTGCCGAGTTGTCTCTAGCGCATCGGAACGCGAAGCGCCGCTATTCGACGCGACTTCGCCGAGTACACGCGTGTGTATGTGTATGTATGTATGTATGTATCATGTGCGCGCGCGCGCACATGCCATATACATACACACACACACATACACGTTCGACTCCGCTCGCCGAGCGTCGAGTGAAGGAGTCGCATCATCTCGCCTCTCTCGTCGATCCGCGGGGGCATTTTCCATGCGCTTTTCTTCCGCGCGTTTGTCTCTCTTCCCCCCCTCCCCCCCGTCTCGTCCCCGAGCCCCGTCGCCGTCGCCGACGTAACTGCGTTGCATGCGCCGCGAGCGCGTATTTTGAATGTCCCGTACGCGAGTATCAAAAATTATTGATCCACTCGATGCCGTTGCTGCGCGTGTGTGCTGCGTGTACGCGCGCGCGCGCACGCGCAAGGTGGTCATTGTGTGTGCTCGCGGGCCAGTGGCTCTCAACCTGTAGGAGGCGCAAGGTATACCTAAGGACTTTAAAGGCCTGTAGAGATTTCAGAGATCCTTTCACGGAAAATTCGGTCTTCGTGCGAAACTTCCGCGAGCTGCATCGATCATATATCGACGGTTTCAGAGAACGATGTCTGAATTGAATAATTCTCGTCGTGAATAATCCCCGGTATTCCAATTTGAATTTCACGTGGGCGGATTATATCGCGATACTTCGGAATTTCCGCGAGTGTCGC